ACTAAAGGCTGGCAGCTCCCTAGAAGAGTTTTTATTGTTAAAGGAAAGGCACTTTAGGCAAGCTAATTTCCTCATACTGAAACTTCTTATCTAACCTAGGGATTGTCTTGGGAGAACCATCTTAAGCTGTTTTCAGCTATAGGAGACTTCCTGGTGTGCCAGGACTGTCAAGAGACTATGTTACGCAAAGGTTCTGAGACTCTTTCCAAAGAACAAGCCCATAAAATCTCAGAAAACAATCACCAATGACAAAAGGCTACTTCAAAGCCTAGATGCCATCATTCTGGAATTCATGCCAGAAACAACAGTCCTGCTAAAATTCTGCTACACACACACACACACACTCACTCATACACTCATACACACACACTGTATTTAGTTGACAGGAACGGTACTTAGAATACCTTTAATCCCTACCGGGAAAATTGAGCCATGTTGCTACCTTTCTGTTATAAGTTCATGAAAATGTTTGTTCTTTTGGAAACAAAAATATTTTGATACAAAGGAGACAGGGAAGTTGCTAGAGGCTAGCAACACCTGGAGACCTTAACCCTACAAGATGGGCCGCGGTGAAGCCAGCATTCCAGAAGATGCTGAGTCCAACAAAGGTTTCAGATGTTGGAAAAGGAAAGCAGCTATCTGAGAAGAGGCAGGGCCATCACTTCACATAGAAGAAGTTAGTTACTATTTTTAAAAGAACTAGAGCGTGACTGCAGTACTATACAGTAATAATTGTAAGACATAGTGATATTGTTTCCCTGGCTTGTTCTCAGCTAAAGCATTTAATACAGGTATGAGCTCTACCTTGCATTAAACGAGAAAAGCCACATCTTTGATTTAGGAGAACCAGAGAAGGAGCAGAAAAACCCCCATCATTCAACAGAAAATGATGAAGACGAAAAAGAGAAGAATGAACAGGGCAGATAAAACTACTTTCTGAGGAACCTTCAAACACGTCCGTCATATTATTAATAAGCATCGGCTGCTCGTCAGTTAAGCGATAAAGGTCCTCTAATGATAGAGGAAACAGGGAAGTTCGCCGTGATTTATAGGTAGAGGAAGAACACTAACTTTGCTTGTTTACTCTCATTGGTGTATATCCATTACACCCAGCCGTACTGGGCTTCTTAAAGACATTTTCACACAAGTATATAGTGAACTTTGACCCCCACTTTCCCCTCTGTTAGCCTTCCTTCTAGGCTCCGCCCAACAGTTACCTAGCAACAGCGAGGGAGGCCTGGCTCACTATAAAAGGGACTGTTTGCGCTCTCGCGCCCTCTCCCTCTCTCCCTCTCTCCCTCTCTCCCTCTCTCCCTCCCTCCCTCTCTCCCTCTCTCCCTCTCTCCTCCCTCTCTCCCTCTCCCTCTCTCCCTCTCCCTCTCTCACCGTGCTCTCTCCCCGCCCTCCCTCTCCCATCCCTCCCTCCCTCCCTCCCCTCCTCCCTCCCCCCTCTCTGTCTGTCTCCTCCCCTCTCCCACCTCCCCTCTCCCCTGTCTTTCTCTGTCCCCTCTCCTCTTTGTCTGCCTCTACTCCCTTCTCAACTCTCCTTCCCATGTTCCCACATAAGCTCTATTCTATGTTAGACCCGTCCTATGGGGGTAGGGAGTGGGCGCGGGTGTGCCTTAGCATGGGCCAGCTGAGCCGCGGAGGCAACTCCTCCTGCTGCACCATACTCATACCATGCTCTACAAAACACATCACCCTCCTCTCACTGGGCCCCTTAATGCCGTTTCTCCTTTTAGGTCACATATACATACATGCTTTTATATGTCCATATACAAATGAGAATCCACAAATGGAAAGAAAACACACAACATCTAGTCTTTCTGATTTTAACTTTAATTCCCTTGCTGTGAAAATCTCCTGTTGCAGGTTTTTCCTGGAGATGACTTTTTTTTCTTTGTGTCTGAATAAAATTCCATTTTATATGTATACCATGGTTTTCCTTCTCGACTCCTGTGTACAGGCAGTATTAGCTCTTGTGAACAGAGATGGAATAACCACCCATGTGTGCATACCTCTGTGACAGGCTGATTTGTTCCTACCGTGGTACCGCCGGGCCACGTGACAATTCGACCCTTAGGTTTTTGAGGAGCCTCCACGCACATGTCCACAGTGGGAACACTAATCTGTAATCTCGCTAGCAGCACGTGAGCATTTTTCATTTCTCCATGTGCTCGCCAGCATTTGCTGCTATTTGTTTTCTCGATGGCTGCTATTCTGATTGGTCGGAGGCCGACTCTCTTCTGTAGTTTAATTTGCATCCCTTCCATGGCAGTGAGACTGAACATTTCGTTTGTCTGCTAGCTACCTTAATTTTTGAGAACTATCTGTTCATTTCATTAGCCCATCCATTATTGGGTTGCTTGGTTTCTTTGTACTTGGCTGTTGAAGTTTTTGCTTATTCTCCGTATAAGTCTGTTGCTGTAAGCGATTAATCCTACTCAAATCGCCCTGGCGGCGGAGCGCGTTCCTCGCTACCCACCCCATCTTTCTGGGTTACCCAATGAAAGACACACACACACACACACACACACACACACACACACACGCAGCCTTCTATTCTAATATGCCTTAAACAGCTCAATGATTGGAACACTTCCCAAACCTCCACAATGTTAGCACACTCGCCCCTCCGATATTCCTGAGTTATTACTTACTAAAACCTATATTCCATCCTGGCTGCCTGGGACCCAGGCCTGCAGCCCTCCTGGACCACGATCCCTATACTTCTCAGACCTGTTTCTTCTCCTTTCCTGGCATCCCAGTTCTAAATCCTCTTTCCTCTCTCTGGGATCCCTTGCCCACAAATCCTAAAGTCCTGCCTCTGTCTCCCTGCCCTGCCATTGGGCGCTGGCAACTTTATTTACCAATCAGATCCAGCTGGGGGTAGGGACCCTTAAAGTCTCACATGCAGATTCTCGCGCAATTTTGGGGACCCAATTAACATAATACAAGCGTTAAACCAATTCATAAATCCTCTGTTAGATCTGTAGTTTGCCCAGGTTTCTCTCCCATTGTGGAGGCTGTTTGCTTGCTTTCTCTCTCTGCTGATTATATCCTTTGCTATACAGAGCGTTTTAACTTTATGCAGTCTTGTTTGTCAATTTTTAGCTTTATCTCTGGGCTATTAGAAACGGTCTGAGAAAGCCCATGCCTAGGCCAATATCCTTAAGGATGATTTCAGAGTTTTAGGTCTCATGGCAACGAGATCTTTAGTCTGCTTAGCATTGGTTTTTGCTCGAGGTGACAGACAAGAATCTAGTTGCATTTTTCCCCCCTGCATGTTGATATCAAGTTTCCTGCGTACCATTTGTGTATGCTTGGGGCATCTTTGTCAAAACCCAGGAGATTGCTTGTGTTAGTTTCTGGGTCCTTTAGTCTAGCCCTTGGATATAGGCTAATGCTTTTTGTACCAGTTACCATGACCCTGTTGGATAAGTTAAAATACACTATGGTGACACCTCGAATGTTACCCCCGCCCCGCCGTGTGTGTGTGTGTGTGTGTGTGTGTGTGTGTGTGTGTGTCTTTTAGGCAGAGTCTCTATTATGTAGCTCTGCCTGTCCTGGAACTCACTATGTGTGCTAGGCCAGCCTTGAGATCAACACACCTCTGCTAGCATGCCTGGCTTTCCTTTTGTTGTGGTGGTAGTATTTAGTAAAATACAGTTTGGTGCAGCGGGAGGGGGTGCCCCAGTGGGTCTATGCTGACGAATTCACCCCCTTCCCCAAACCAGGTACCAGTCATACAACGGGTCTAGTATAAAATAAAGTTTACTTGGGGACATAGGAAGGAGGGTTGAGAAGGGAGTAGAGGCAGAGAAAGAGAGGGGACAGAGAAGGACAGAGGGGGTAGGGAGGAGAGAGAGAGAAAGAGGAGAAGAGAGCACACGGAGAGAGGGGGGAGGGGGAAGAGGACAGAGAGAGAGGGAGAGGGGTCAGAGAGCATCTATACTTATCAGGAAGGTTGGTCTACCATTTCCATTTTTGTTAAGCGTGCAACCAGTCATATCAGGATAATTCTGGCTTCATAAAAAAAACTGTTAGCATTTTCTTTATATCATATTAAAGAGTGACAGGTTATTTCTCCACCAGTGAAATGAGCCAGTCCAAGCCAGGTTAGATTATATTAACAGCAGGTTTATTGGGTAGCTGCTCTGTTATAGGGAGGTGGGGTGGGGGAAGGAAAGGAGAAAAAGAGAAAGAAGGAGGAGGAAGAGGAGGGGGGTGGGAGTGAGAAGGGAGACCAAAATGTCTGGATTTTATAGGGAAGGGCCTCTCAGGGAAGGGCAGCCCAATCCCTGGGCTGGAAAGTTCAAGGCTGGGGACAGGGTATGTCAGGTAGGGACTGAGGGATGCTGGGAGAACCTGGAAGCCAGGTCTGCTTTGTAAAAAATGTATGTATGTAAAACATGCACCTCAGTCCCTTGCTCTAGGGTCTGAAACCAAACAAAGAGTTTTTTGTTTGTCTTTGAGACTATATTTTAACTACTTTTCCTCCTTCTCTTTCCTCTAAGTTTCCCATATACCTCTCCCCACTGTCTGCCCACATGTGTGCCGAACACTGAGGATACTCACGAACGTGGCCACTGTGTGGGGAGAAGCCCGGGAGGCCTTCCCCCTATATAGAGAGTAGTTTTAAGAGCATTGGTGTTAGTTTTTCTTTACAGCAGAATACAGCAGGTAACACAGGCGTGTCTGGATTTTTTTCAGTTGAGTTTTCCTTCAGCCTCAGTCCCTTGCTTCTTACAGACCAGGGTAAGATGTTTTGTTTTCTTGGCTCCATTTATACCCAGAATCTTATTCATTTCTTTTAGATTTTTAAAAAAATTTATTGGAGCATAGGGTTTGAAGTCAAGTCTTAATGAACTGGGGTTTGGTGCTATCCGCTGCTGGTGGGGATATTTCCTTTGTAGTCTCTGTATTACTGTGGGGTTTCTTGCTCCTTGGTTTTTAGTTTGTCTAGGGTTTTTGATCGTTTCAAAGAATCAATTCTGTTTTTCATTGATTCTTTGTATTGCCTTTGTTTTTGAGGCCTAAAGAACACTTGCAATTTGGAGAAACAAAATAAACATTATCCCAAGGTTTCTATGAATATGCTTGTTGCCACAGAGGAGACAGCATGGGTGAAAACATAAAATTAACAGACAACTCAGCAAAACGGTAATGTCCTGTGTGCTATGAAAATTTTAAATGTGACAGAAAGTTGTTTTTGCATGATAGTAGCAAGAATACACAACAGTACCTTGTAAGGAAGCAAGGAGTAAATTATATGGAAAAATTATTCTAAAACTAACCAAAATAACGTAGGCTAGAAGTCAATTAAATGCCTCACAGTGAATTGGTATTTTTAAAGGCATCTGACTAGTGGATACCAAAATTAATAGGAAAGTAAAGGACCAAGAATTGCCAAAGCTACTGTAAAGCGCAGGCTGGACTGGCACATGCCAGGCAGTACAGAAGCTTCTCTATAATGGTTACCAACTAGAGCTTGGTTTGCAGTGTTGACGCAGGGAGAGGCAACAGAGCTGGTGACCAGCAGAAACAGGAGAGACCCTGGTACAAACTGAAGCTTGTCATTTGAGGTAGCTTTGTAAATTAACTCTGGGGGAGAGGGGCAAAAGAAAAAGGACTGTATCACAAATATGCTTGGAGTAACTCTCCATTTGCAAAAGATATCACTTAAATGGCTGCCTTGCTCCATAGAAAATAATGGCTAGCATGGATGGAGTGCTCACTCCACCTCAGACAGGGACTCGTCTAGAGATGTTTTCTGTGTCAGCTTGACTCTCACTCGGCTCCCTTTCTATACAGAATGTGTCTAGCCACTCCGGAGGAAATGCACAGCAGGACTTGCTTGTCACCTGGACAGCTGGTAAGCCCTTGTTCTCTATAGTGCTCTCTGCAGCATCCTGGTAAAGAGTATGAAATACAAGGTCCTACTGTTGTAAATGAACCCCAAAACTCCAGAGGCTGCACTGAGGATGGAGCAGCCCTGGACTTGAGCCCCCATCCCCCACCCCAACCCCACACCAGCACTGCAAACATAGAACAAAGCAAAGGGCCACAACCTTAAACCCTAAGAAGCCATTTCAGACAACATGGATATGGATGTCATATTGTGTACTGGCCGGTTTTGTGTGTCAACTTGACACAAGCTGGAGTTATTGCAGAGAAAGGAGCCTCCCTTGAGGAAATGCCTCCATGAGATCCAGCTGTAAGGCATTTTCTCAATTAGTGATCAAGGGTGGAGGGCACATTGTGGGTTGTGCCATCCCTGGGCTGGTAGTCTTGGGTTCTATAAGAAAGCAAGCTGAGCAAGTCAGGGGAAGCAAGCCAGTAAGTAACATCCCTCCATGGCCTCTGCATCAGCTCCTGCCTCCTGACCTGCTTGAGTTCCAGTCCTGACTTCCTTTGGTGATGAACAGCAATGTGGAAGTGTAAGCTGAATAAACCCTTTCCTCCCCAACTTGCTTCTTGGTTATGATTTTTGTGCAGGAATAGAAACCCTGACTAAGACCTATTACAACCAGAAGACAATGGGTGTGCCTTGGAAGGAGGCGGGATTGGGTCTGGGAGGCAGAACTGTGTCTGGGAGGGGGTTTTATGGCTTTCTGTGTTATTTTTACTGTGATCAATATGGACAAAGTCGTACCTATTTCAATCTTGTTGGTGAATACATGTGTGGTTCTTTTTCCCATATCTTTAACACTTCATAAGTGTTTGCATTTTACAAAATGAATGCAAAACATGCCATATTAAAGAGTAGGATGGAGACCAAGGAGTGTAGTGCTCTGGAGACTCCCTCAGGCATGTCTTCATGAGGCAGCAGGTGCTTGAGAACCAGACTCACATTTTTCTAATTTCCCTCTCCTTGATAAACATTAAAACTAACAAAGCCACCGGCAACGGCCAGTCTATTCTCAGAAACCATCATCAGATCCTGTTTTTATCTGTCATCTGAAGCTTCCATTGCCTTGTGCATGGGAAGTCTCAAAGACTAGCATAGCCCGAGCCATTTGTAAAGTGTCATTAACCCATTGTAAACCAAGTTAAGCCACGTTCATTTAAAACGCCTGTCAGGTGATGGCTGAGTATGAAATTGATTTCTTGGATGCAGCGTTAGAAGATGTCTCTCCCTTCCCTCCTGGAAGGCGCTAAAATAGATGGCATAGCTTCTGCTGACAGTGCTGTAAAATGTTCCCCTAGGCTTTGTTTGCTCTGCAAGGCAGTTGCTCTTGCTGGGCTAATTCCTCTGCTGGCTGCCTTTGGCTGACCTTGGGCACTCTCTGTTTATCCCACTGAGAGGAGTTTCTATGTTAGGAACTGCTGGCTCTTAAGCTCTTGGCAATCTCCTCCTGACAGTGTTTGCCTTGTATGCATTCCGAAGTCCTTGGATGGAGTGGTCACCACAGGCTGCTCCCACCTAGGTTTCTTTTGCTTTGAAATTCACAGTCTGAACCAGAAGTAAGTGGAAACTGGGTAGCTTCAAACACACTTCCCATTTTCCTTAATTTCCCAGGTGTATCAAATGGGTTATCATTCCTCTCAACTCTTCCTCCCTAAGAAGACTGTCAGTTCTTTGGGGTCCATCCCTTGGGGGCTCCTTTTGTCTGGTCATTTTTCTTAGGAAGCCTCCACCCTAGTGCTCCAGAAAGAAATCTTCCAGCCATTGAAGTTCAAAACACCTCGCACTTTCAGAGCCTGAGTCCCTACCCCTCCCTCCTCCCTGTGGAGACAGTAGCTCCCTGTGGAGACAGGGTTTGACTGTCTTCTCACTCTGAATCTTTGGAGTACCAGATAGGTCCCAGCTGCTTCTGAGTTTGTCTTCTCGATTTCCAGTCAAGTATATGAGCTTGAGGAGAAGGCTTTTCAAATCCCAGAAGAAAGAAATGTAAGGGGTTTCAGCGGTTGTGTGTGTGTGTGGGGGGGTGGGGAGGTGGGTGTTGAATTTATCATCTGGCAACAACAAAGAATTGAATGACCAGGAAAGACAGAAAAAAGGGAAAGTTCCAGCCTTCTGCGCTTGGGATGGGAGAAGTCTAAGGCTGGTTCTGTGGGTTCATACCAATTTTGCTTGCAGTTTTCTGGGAACAAGAAGCAGCCATCTCAGGAAGCCTGCCTACATTTTCTCTACCTATCTGGCTCCAACTGCAGAGGTAGCTTATTATTCATGTTCTCAAGTTTGGGAATAGACAGGTGAGAATAAAAATAATGTTTCTATTATGGGACATATGGGCAGATTAGAGAAGCAAGTAGTGAAATAAAAGGAAAATACGTATCCATCAGTGTGTGCAATGAACACGTAGAAAACACAGAGGGAGGCACCCCAGCTCAAAGTCCTGACTTCAGAATTTTCAGGCACCAGAAGTGGGTACTTGGGTGTAACCAGCAAAGCTCTGGGAGCCCAAGGCCAGCCCCAATCAGAATCAGGGATTAAAACGTCTACAAGGACAGGACAAGCCTCTGGAGGCTCCGGGCAGCTCAGTAGACACTGGTCTCCTGTGAACCTCAACACACGTGAGCCAATATACTAACAACAAGGGATCCTTCTGATGACCATGTCTTCCACCAGGACCTCCTGCCTCTGGCTTGGCACTGACCTTGGTGACCCTTGGATGTCTTGAACCCTGGTTGACCTGACCAAGCATAACTGAGGCTATGGCTAGCTAGCCTCTACCGCACCCATGGAGCATCTACTGCAGAGCTAGAGTCCACTCCCTGTCCTATCCCACCAGTGAATGTGAACGCGGTGGCCTGCTGGGCACTAGGAAGCTTGTTGTACCTCTACCTACTGTCTATGAGTGAACGCAAGTCTCTGGATATTGATGGCATCTCTTAGACCTTTCGGTTGGATTTGTTTGCAGTGAATTGTTTCCTTTCCCCTGATGTGAGAACAATAAACTCTCCATGTGCAAAAGAAACACTCCACTGTAGGGGTTTGTCTGGCGCTGCTTGTATTCAAATGCTAAATTCTGTACCTCAAGATCTGGTCGCTCCGAGACAAGCAGATATATACCAGCTTTTGTTGTGTAAACCTTAATTTAAAACTATTGGTTGAATAAAGATGACCTACAGTCTGTAGCTGGGCAGAGGAGTGGTAGGTGGTAGGCAGGACTTTGGTTCCTGAGCTTGGGGTCTGAGGCCAAAGAGAATGAGGAGGAAGAAAGATGAGGTTGTCATGGGGTAGGTGGATCCTGAGTGCATGGCTGTGAGGGCCAGCTGCTGGAGTAGGAGTGACCCGGTGGAACATAGGAAGTGATGTCTCAGGGTTACTGACAAGAAAGTAGACAAAAGTAGATAGCAGATTGATATCTGCCCGGCTCTAATGCTTTAAGGTTTATTATAAATATAAAGGCCCATGCATTTTATTTGGGAACTAAATGATCTAAGGTGGGGTAGAAACCCCCAAATAATATTTACCACACCACCTGACTGTCTGTCAGTCTGTGTTGTATAAGTTATGCTTTAGGCTGTGTGTGTGTATATTGTATGCGAGTGTAGGTACATGCATGCATGATTCACATGTGGAAATCAGAGGACAATTTAGGGGGGAATAGATTTTCACTTTGGGTTCCAGGGATGGAGCTCAGAGGTCAGAGGTCAGGCTTGTGCAGTTTTTACCTGTTGAGCCATCTCGCTGGCCCCAATTATTGCCTTTTAAATTTATTTATATTTTTTTGAAAGGGTCTCACTGTGTAGCTAGCTACAGCCAGCCTGGAAGCCACTGCGTTACCCAGGCTGGCTTCCAAGTCAAATCAATCTTTCTGCCAAGTGCTTGGATCACAGGTGCACGGCATTACATTCATTTTAACTTTGTTTTCTTGGGTTTTTTTTTTGTTTGTTTGTTTGTCTATTTTTTTAACAACAGTATGAAACTCTAGACCAATCTGTGGGAAGTAGGTGATCTAGGTAGAAAATCTGGGTCACAGACAGAAATGAGAGAGCTGGGACCAATAGTGGCAGCAGAACAGAGCTAAGCTGTGGTAGGCATGCCCCTGCTTTTGAAGAGTGGTCATTCCTCAACTCCAGGAATATGCAGATTGTTAATAAACGGCAAAGGAAACATTCCAACAGTTCTAAAGTCTTCCCATTTCTTAAAGCAACAGCCACAGTATCTAAACCTGCTTCGAGCAACTCTTTGCTCTCTGTCTCTCCTTACCCTTTCATTAGCGACACTAGCATTGACAGGAGAACTCTACATTTTAGTCTCCTTTATACTTGGGGTCTCCCACTCCATTAAAGTCCTCGCTAGGTGCCATAGCTTTACAAGAAACTAGATTTTAATGTGACTCCACCCATTCTGGCGTTCAGATGCTATGGAGAATGAAATGGAAACACTTGCCTTGAAATATTCACATTCATTTGTGCAGTTTGTATTTGTATTTTGTATCAGTTGATTTCTCCTTTATTTTTTGACGTAGAATATGTTTTCATTCTGAACTTTTCCTTCTGTACACTGTATTATAGATAGAAGCACATGATAAATATTCATGACTTGGTAGCAAATCCAATATGGATGATGGTTTACAATATTTCTGTAGGTCAAATAAGTCCTCAGTTTACAGCATTGCATGCATTGTTCTGAGCATTGCATGTGACCCTCCAGAGCGTTGACTGATTGCAAGAAGAGTTGCTGAGGCAAGTGGGTATCCTATTAATGAATACCTGTAAGTTTCAGATGAAAACAATCATGTCTATTCACCTTCTGCCTATGATAACCAGAGCCATGTATCCACCGGCGTCGTCTCTGAAGCTTCTAACTCACACTTGTGTTGTGGAGTGAGAAGAATCCATTTTCATTTTGACTTGTGTTTTCCTTGGTCACTGGGACACTAAGCACCCCTTTCCCCTGTAATTTTAAAGATGGCTTACATTTCTCCTTTCTCATTTCATTCTTTATATGCGCGGGCAGTTCATCTGTGAATCCTTTGAACACTGTTTGCTCTCTGTAGAGTTCTAGGAAAACAACTCTTGTTATTTTATTAGAGAATTCTTCTAGGACTTAAAATTATATTTCTATATCCTGTGTTCTGTCTTACAGACTTTAAAGTTTACTGAACTTATCAAACGCATAGGCAGCTTGCCCAACACTGTGTAATGTAGAGTTCACATCAGGTAAGAATCTCTCTTGGGCATATGGGCTCTACCTTTGAATACAGATCTGTTCTACAGCCCTATTGGCATTTTTTGCTTCTCATCTCCTGTTTTGATATTTTAAAGTTCAAAATATGTCTTGACATTTAGTAGGATAAGAATTCTCCTGGTTTTTGTTTTCAAAGTTGTCTTGGTTATTCTTTACATTTCTTGAAATTTTAAAATAATTTAAGTCACTGAAGAAGTTCCATGGGCCTCTCTCCTCCTTTGCTCATGGTAAACATCTCTGCATGAGAATCCCCTCTTCACCACAGTTACCAAATGTATTTGGGTTATGAACCTCAAAAACTTCAGCTTTTCTGGGTATAGAATTATAAACCAATTAAATCTTCCAATAGTTAGATGTTTCCTCTAGTTGAATTTCACCACTTTTCTTTTTTACTGGATACGTTGAAATGTTTCTAAATGTACACAGAATGGGATTTTTATTGTGTACTTTTAATTATTTTTAAGCTTGACAGACAACTTTATTTTGACAGCTCAACATCTTGAATTAGAAATGAGGGTATACACACAAAACCAAATAAATACAAATTTCTTTGTGTATACATTTGTACACACAGAGGTTATTCTTGACTCTGCCCACTGACAGTTTCTTAGGACACTGATTATATCAATAGGAGCATCTACCGTATTCCCATATCTTCACGTTTAAATGAATTTTGAGCAATAAGAATCAAGTGAGGGAATTATTTTTACTCTTGGTACAGTGATTTCAGTTCCCTCTTGGCTGAGTCCATCACTGTCAGAGTCACCGCGATGAGACAGAAATTCTTGGTGCCAAGGGCATGGTAGCTAGAAGACAGGAAGAGAGAGAGAGAGAGAGAGAGAGAGAGAGAGAGAGAGAGAGAGAGAAGTATTCCCCAAAGGAAAGGTCCCAGTGACCCATTTTCTTCCAGTAAGCTCCACCCAAGAGTTCATTTAGCTCTAAACCTATTCAGTGGACTGACTCATTGATAAAGTTCATGGCTATATAACCCATTCACAGACTTTTCACTACTCAGCCAGCTGGGAATCAAGGCTTTCAAGCAAGCCTTTTGGAATATACTTTATATCTAAATCATAACATTCCCCAAAGGAAAGAAATGCTCAAACCATGGGGTCTCACAGAGCCTGGGCCACCTACCAGGAAGCAGGCAGGAGCAGGACCTATGCCCCCTACATATTGTAGTAAATGTGCAGCTTCGTCTTCCTGTGAGTCCCCTACCAAGTGGAGTGGAGGCTGTTTTGGTCTCTGTTCCCTGCCATTGGATTTACTTATCCCTACTTGGACTGCCTGGTTGGGCCTCACTGGGAGAGGATGTGCCTAGTCCTGCTGGGACTAAATGCCCCAGAGTACGTTGGTACCCAAGGGGACACCCCTTCTCTAAGGAGAAAGGGAGGAGGGAATGGGGGTGGGGTGGAGATTTGTGAGGGTGAGGCTGGGAAGAAAGGAGGGAGGAGGGATGTAATCAGGATGTAAAGTGAATTAAAAACAGGAAAAAAAGGAAAAAGAAAAGAAAAAAGAGAAAAGAAATGCTCAAAGAATGATGTCATAAAATGACATAAAAATCAACTAGAAAAGTTCTCACCCTCCAGTCAAATCCAATGGTAATTTGAGTGCCTAAATAACTGATTGTTATTTTTAACCCACAAGTGGAATCATAAGAACCCATAAAGACTACAAATCTACCTCAAAAATGAAAATTAAAAGGTGGATGAATAAGTTAGGAATGTCCTTACTGACAGAAGAATGGTAGTACCACATACAGAAGTCATATGCTCAGAAGGTCACCACTGTGACCTTCTGTCAAGTTTTAGTCAAGAATCAACACTGGTTAAAAAAATTAAAAAGTGATCAAGGTTAGCATGAGCATGACACAGATGTCATGTGTCTCCACATGATGTAGAGAGAATGAACAATGTTGTGTCTGCGACATGTACCCCAACCGGACTTGAATCCAACCAGAAAGCAGCTGCAGGAAGCCCCAGGCTGCGTGGCCATGACAGAGGGCCATTGCTCTTCAAAAGCATAAGAACCAAGGTAAAAAATGAATGCGGAGTCCTTTGAATTCATGGAGTATGAAGATCCAGGGCACAGTGCAATCCATCTTGGATCCAGGAGGAGGGAAAATGGAGAGTGTGACTTAGATATTAGGACAGGGTAGAGAGCACTTGCTTAGCATGTGTGAGGCCCTCAGCTTATTCCTCGGAACTACCAAACTAGACAAGGAAAGCCCTCATAGTATGAATTCTTTGATAGGAGACATTGTATTCTTGTTTTATAAGGAAGCATTCTTAACTTGAAGAAATGTCCATTAACATAATGTAACAAAACATAAGGGAGCATCATCTTGGCAACTTACTCTCCAAGTTCAGAAAGCCAAGTGTAGTGGCATACCCTCCCTTAGGATTCCAGCACTCAGGAGACGAAGGCGAGAAGGTTATGGGTTCAAGGGTGGCCTTTGAGATCCTGTCTCAAAATGGGTGGGACGTGCCTCTGCCTCTTAAGTGCATGCCCCTGAATTTGATACAGGGTGGGGAAAAATGGAAGTTCACAATGCATTGATACATGGGTGGTGGAAGGAGACTATGAGAGCATGGTGTAAGCCTAAGATTATTTTAAAACAAACAGTGAAGATGGATTCCTATAATATACATCGTTGGCAAAGGTCCCCTGTCTAGGCACAACAAGCCAAAATATGGACATGGTGACATTCCCGGCACAAGCTGATGGCCAGAGGCGGAATTACATGATGTCCCCCTGACACTGAAGGATGGAGTCGGCTTAACAAAGGCCAGCTTTCAGAGTTAAGATCACCATATAGACCCTGGCAGAGCAAGGATAGGGTTTGAACAAAGACGTAGCTCTGGCATTTGCCCCCTGAAGACAGGCAGACAAATGCCTTGTAATCCGGTCTCACTTTATAACAAAGGAGATCCCAGAAAAGTCTCAGATCAGGCAAGCCTGCTTCGGAAAGCTCAACTATTAAGTTTACGTGTCACCGAGTCAAGACCACGTCCAAATTTAACCAAGGCTTTCCCAGACTCCAGGGTGCGCCACAAAGTGAAGTTCTAATGAAACTCCCCCGTGGTGTTTCAGGACACCGAGGAAGCAAAGCAAGGCCTTGAGGACAAGTCACGCTAGTGAGTCCTCCTTGAAGCAAACAGAAATGGTGGGTGGGCTGTCCTTAGGGGAAGCCAGCAAGATGGATACATTTTTTTTATTTTTTTTCTTTTGCATCCAGTGACAGAGTTTTACATAAACAGGAAATGGAGTTGTTGAAGTTTTCTCATTACTGGAAATGTGGACATGATTGAAGAAAGATGTTCACTGATTGTTTTTCCCTTGGGCTCTGAGAAAAGAAAATTATTTTCGGCTTGTGTCCTGTGACTTTTTATTGTCCATAAAGGGCTGCTGCTGATGTAGGTTGGTGTTTATAAGGCAGTCAGTTTTATAAAGTCCTCTTTCACTTTCTTTGCCTTGACTCTGTCAAAACAACCGAGTTCAGCTTCCGAAGAAGCCAAGGGCTCTGTGGGAACCAGCGGCAGTTGACCCCATAAAACCCTTCTGACCCAATTCTTCCCTCAGTGGCTCCTGCTCTTTCTACCCCGTGTTCTGTCTCCTCACGCCTGTATTCATTTACTGTGTCCAGGCATTTGTTCAAGGGCTCACTTAAGTACAGCTACAAAGCATTTACAGAGCACCTACAGTTGGTCACTACTGCTGGGGACCCATTACAGAGGAGAGGGAAGGAAGCACAGACCCTGTAGTGGACTTTCTCATACTTACACAACCCAAGAGAGAGAATAATTCCCTGTTCAGTACTCGTTAGATTCTTAAGTTCTACAAACCCGAGTAGGTGAGAGCATTCAGGCTGGTCTCTTTCCCCAGTAGGCATTATAAAGGAAGGAAGAGATGGAGGGAAGTGGGGTGGTTGGGACTGGCATGGGGGAGGGGCCACTTACCTAAAACTTGAGGTGAGCTCAGTGAGGTCTGGACAACGAAACAAGAAAGGCATAGTCCAGGCAAGGAGGACAGACAGGGTAGGTACAATGGACCAGGGAAGTGGTCGGCTGCTCTGGGAGAGGGCAGGCTGATAATAAATTCAAAAGTTGTTTTACAATTGCCATCCATGGTTCCATATTGACATTATAAAGACTTTGACACTAAGACCTGGCCTCTCTTCTCTCCTCTCTATTCCCTGATTTCATGCCCCACCTTTCCCTCTAACAGGTTGCAGACAGTAGATGTTGGTACCAGCCCCGAACTCAGTGATGTCACATCCAAGTGACTCCTACATCGTTGCCAAGGCAACCACCGTATACTCCCAGAATCCACCTGGCTACCTTACCTTTACCTGGGAAAAGACTATGTCACCGCCTATATAAATAGGCAGAACTGTCTGACCTCTCTCTCCCGCCCCCCCATCTTCTTCCGCTTCTCTCTCCACATTTGCCCTCTGCCCTAATAAACCCCCCCCTTGTGGAACCGTTTAGTCTGGTGTGATCTGTTCTAAGCTACGCAGGCCAAAGTCTTACAGTAGACACACTGTGTGATATTATTAAAGGTTTTACACCATTATACCACAACCTGGAAATTAGCTTATCTAAATAAGGCACAAGGTTACTCCAGATCATGACTGTCCCCTTTGCTATATTGACCGGTTCCTTTGTGATTTGATAGCATAGGGATCATAGCAGACTCCTGAAATGTTTCAAGCAAGATAAGGGCTAGAAGTTGAACCTCTTTTTCAAAAGTAAAAACCACCCCATCCTCTTTAGATAGTCAGAAATGGTGAGAGCCAGCCTAGAAGCTCCCTCAGCACTCATGGTGAAATGACAAGAAAGCACAATGGAATCAAACCAGAAGCAGGTTAGTTCCCAGGGAACTTTTCCAGAATTGGAAGTATTGGAAAATATTAGATCTTTAAAAAAATATTTCCCCAGCATTCGTAATTGAGACCCTGGGTTCAGTCACAATCATTTAAAAAAATTTATTTTTTTGTCAAATGATTAAGATTTTAGATTTTCTGTTTCCCTTCCCATTAGTGTCTCCCTTTTTTTTTGTTTCTTTGTTTGTTAGTTTGTTTACCCTGTTTTCCCAGTTTGTGTGTGTGTGTGGGGTGTGTGCACGTGCACTTATGCGGATGCACGTGTGTGTGGATGTGCACGTGGCTCTTCCACGTGCTTCACGGAGGCAGTGTGACAAACCCAGAGCTTGCCAATAGGGCTATGCAAACTAACCAGCTTGTTCTGGGAATCCTGTCTACACCCCCGAGGCTGGAATTGCAGATGGGCCCTTCTGGCATATACATGGGTTTGTGGGGATCTGAATTTCAGTCCTCACCCAAGTGCTTTAACCACGGGAACCCCCTACCCTCCCCCCTACCCCAACCGCAGCCCCAGCACTTGGGCCTCCATCCTCACACCTTTGCCCACACCGTTTTCTGTTTATGTGGACAGCCTTTCCTTTTGTGCTTTCTGGTGTCTATGTTTTGTGGATTTGACTGAATTCTGCCACGGCTTTAGACTGTACACCTGCCAAACCTCCCAGACTTATCAGAGTTCTTACAAGATACGGGAACTGATACCATAGGCCACAGTCCATTCCCTGACAGTGTTTCCAAATAAAGTCCAAGTACTGTCTTCAAACAAAGCAGTCTAGAGCAGAGGCAGATGTGGCCATGAGACTGCTAACTGAACATCTTTTCCATGTTGGAAATCAGTGCCATCCTCCCTGTGGTCAGTTGCTGGTCTTATTTGTCATTTTCTTTCCTCTGGGACAGACATGTGGCCTCAGTGATACAGACGTCATCGTCACAGTCCCTTCGGGAAGACGTGCAGAGAGAGACTATTTTTTTATCCCTGTCAATTCTAAACTTTTTAGTGGTTTGTTTGAAAGATTTCAAGTGAGAGTTGCCTTTTTGAAGGTCCATTCTCAGGCTTGGCTGTGTTTTTCCTCGTTCTGAAACTGTGTCTTCCATAGAGTTTTTTTTTTTCCACAGCTTTTAAGGCAATATTTTAACCTTTAGTGCCCACAGAATGCTTAGCAGTATCTCTTCAAAGCAACTCCTTAGGGCTTGCTAAGTGGGAAGGGGTTGGGGTTTACCAGATGTAAGATTTGATCTGAGACAGTCTCAATTATGGAAAGCCAGAATTCCGTCCCCATACTTAAATCTCTTCTTTGTTTCTGAGAAGCGTGGGCCCCGGCGCCCTTGGCATCCCGTTTCCTTGGAACAAACTGCTATTGTTTTTGAGCTTCTAGTACTCTGGAATCCAGAGTCCATAAATTAAACATAACAGAGAGAGAGTGGGCAGATGACTGGAACCATTTTCTGAATCCTTGGATCTGTCGTACAGTGGAAGAGAACTGACGATTAATCACCAAAGCTGGCAAGCAGTTCGTGGCTCCCTTTATAAACACCCCACGCATAGGTGTACAATGCCTTTGTCTGACTGCTCCTTGGAGTGGAGAGTCCACGCAGCAGCTGGGAACACAGTGAACTCCTCTAGGCTCCCGAGGCAGATGAGGTCATATTTTGCTGTTGTTTTGTTTCGTTTTAAATGGGCTATTTTAGAACAACGAGAATTTTACAGATTGCCCAAAGGTAATTTAGATATTCGCACATGTCAGCTCCTCACCTTGCAAAAATTTTCTGTTAGCACTGTGTATTTGCACAATTTATAAACAGCGTAAGTATTTAGACTGTCTTGCTTTGTATACATTAGGCAAATTAAAGGGTCCATTAGCTAGCTTTTCTATATGTGCAGACACTGTTTTAATCATGTCCACCATCCATCCTACACCTAAGGATCCCCCCACATCACCTTTCCCCGTTCCTAATGGGTCCCCCTTCATTTCTTTTGGATCCTGTCCCTTCCCAGTACTACTGACTGCCATCCGAACACCAGCAGTTTGTCTTTCTGCCCCTCGATAATTTCACTCAACATTCCATTCTCCAACTTGATCCAGCCATGTTGCCGCCTACAGCAGGATTTCATCCTTCTGTAGTTCTGTAGCCAAGGCGTGTTTCACAGCGAAATGATACATGTATCCGTTCATTCACAAGGGCGTCTGGATCAGTTCTGCATTTGGGCTTCAGCAAAGAGCACTGGAAGTAAGCATCACAGGGTAGGAGTGTTGCTTACCCTGAGATCTCCTCCCATTAGAAGAGACGCCAGGAGGAGTTGGAGAAGACTGAGAAATCTCCATACTATTTGCCACGTACCTACATCGTCATTAAGTAAAAGTCAATATTTGACTGAGATTGTTTCAATTTCCCCTAATGCTCTTCTAATCTCTAGACTCCAGGATATGTGAAACTCGGTGGTCATGTCCTTTTAGGTTCATTTTGGTTGTGGCTGTTTCTAGAAATTTCCTTTCTTTTCTTTCACAATGTAGCAAACTCAGAAGTTGCTGCTTTCTCTTACCTTGACTGATCATGTATTTCAGGACAAAAGACCACAGTGGTAAGAGACTTCCTGGTCATACCCTACGAAGGAAGCACACTGTGACATCACTAACTGTGACTTAACCTTGCCCACCTGGATTGAGGAGTTTTCTGCTTTAACAGTCTTTGGCCAGCTGCCTCCTCCCATCCCACTACATGGCACTCTCTGGACAGGGTCACTATGCCTGCCCTCCCCCCAGTAAAAGCATGAGGCAATTGGGGACACCCATTTAAGGTGGAATATCTGCCAGGTTTACTGGGAGTTTGTCTCAGTTAGGGGTTCACCGCTGTGAAGGGACACCATGACCACAGCAACTCTTTTAAAGGACAACATTTAATTGAGTCTGGCTTCCAGGCTCAGAGGTTCAGTCCATTATCATTATGGCGGGAAGTATAGCAGTGTCTAGGCAGGCATGGCACAGAAGGAGCTGAGAGTTCAACATCGCGTTCTGGAAGCAAACAGAAGACTGGCTTCCAGGCAGCTAGCAGGAAGTTCTCAAAGCCCACACCTACAGTGACACACTTCTTCCAAAAGGGCCACACCTACTAATAGTGCCACTCCCTGGGCCAAGCTTATTCAAACCACCACAGAGTTCTTCTGCATAGAGAGTTTTATTTATATTTAGTTATTTATCTATTCAGTTATTACATACTCGTGAATCTTGGGATACTTAGTTTTATATTTTTTGGCTATCATCCAATATTGCTATCCTTTTATTTATTTTCTCAAATGGCTGAAGCATGGTGGTTCTCCACTTGTAGGTAGTGACCCTTTAGGAGATCAAATGATACTTTCATAAGGGTCCCTTAAGAACATCAGAAATATCAGATATGTCTATTATGATTCATAAAAGTAGCAAAAATTACAGTTATGAGTTAGCAACGGAAATAATTCTATGGTTGGGGGGTCACTACAACATGAAGAACTGTGTTATGGGGTCTCAGTATCAAGAAGGCTGAGAACCGCCACAGTAGCTGTTGTTCCACCAGTATGGGATTTTTTTGGTTCGTTTGATAATTCTTCCACTTTATAGCACTACAGAGTGATCCATGCTTACCCTGTGTATTTTCTACCTCAGTCCAAAATCAGCCATTTCTTTGAGGATTTCTGCTTCCTTCTGAAAAATGTTACTGGACACTGGGGGTTGGGTGTAGGTGTCCTCACACTCATTGATTCAAGAACATTTGTGTTTCACCTGGAATTTCTGTGTCACTTTAGTGAAATGGAAATTTGTCTATTAACTGTTCTCTAGAACTCTACCAGCTCTGGGACTTAATGCAATATAAACATTGCATTAACACCTGTTCTAAGGTTCTTGAAATAGCTGGGAAAATCCAGCCCAGTCCTGGCAGTGAGTTGAGAATAAGGAATTCACAAGGGTATTGGAAGAAATTTTATATGTATATGTGTATGTGTATATGTATATGTGTATATATATATATGAAAAATTCCTGCAGATTTGCTTCTTGATTGGTTGTTGTTATCTATCTATCCATTTATCTATCTATCCATCTATCTATCTATCTATCTATCTATCTAGTGTCTTAACTGCTACCAGGCTAGCTTCAAGCTCCTACTTAGCTGAGATCAGCCTTGAAATCTAGATTCCCTAGACATCACCTCTCAGAGGCAAAGATTATAGGCATGCATACCATGCATGGCTTTTTTTTCTTTCTTTGGTTATTTAAGTGTGTGTGTGTGTGTGTGTGTGTGTGTGTGTTTAAGACTGAGTAGTACAATACAATTCTTGGTTCAGTATCCTTCCTGCTGAGATTATAGGAACCTGTTACCTAATTGAAACTACTGTTCTGTACCAGCTTTCAGCAAGCATATTTCCATAACTATAAGTTTTTTAAAATATCCTTTTCACTAAAGACAAGGCCAAGCGAGGTTGCTTTGTACAGTGAATTCCTTCATCCTGGGGTCAGTCTGGAAGTGAATGGATTGGTATCTGATCGCCCCCATCTCCCATCCAAACTCCCTGATATTGATTTTTGTCACTTAATAAGTAATATTTAAGC